GGGATGGGGATGGATATGGGGATGGGGATGGGGATGGGGAAGGGGATGGGGTGGGGGCAGGGATGGGGATGGGGAAGGGGATGGGGTGGGGACAGGGATGGTGATGGGGATGGGGAAGGGAATGGGGATGGAGAAGGGGATGGGGATGGGGAAGGGGATGGGGATATGGAAGGGGATGGGTCTGACAGGCTCTGCTGCGCTGTGCAGGAGCTGAGCGGCTTCCCCAGTGTGGCACAGGGCGCCGTGGAGGTGCTGCACCCGGCCATGTACACCTGCACGGCCGTGCTGCTGCTCTGCCTCTTCACCACCATCATCACCTACATCGTGAACCACGGGTGGGTGAGAGCCCGCGCCACGGTTGGAGGGGTTGGGCTTGGCTTGGTGGCTCTGGGCAGCTGGAGGAGACATCCAAGTGCTGGCAATGGGAGGGGGGCTGCCTGGAGATGGGCTTTTAGGAGGTGGCCCTAAAGGATACGGCTCTTTAGGACATGGGTTTGTAGAACCCTCCAGAAATGTGGGGTTGGACAGAGCTTTGGCTGACACAGTCTAGTGTGAGGCATCCCTGCCCATGGCAAGGGGTGGAACTGGATGACCTTAAGCTCCTTTCCAACCCAACCCATTCTATGGTTCTATGGCTGGATGCGTCCTGCCTTCATGGCAAGGGGTGCTTGGTCTGCTTGGCTGTGTCTTGTCCTGCAACGAGACGTGAGGTGGGACATTGAGGGTGTTGTGAATTCCCCCTGTTGGGCCAGCAATAGCAAGGGATGGGGTCCATCTCAGGATGAAAACACAGCTGCTGTCCTGCCAGGCCAGGATCCAAGCGCATCCCGTACCTCCAGCTCTATGTGCACAGCTGCTTTATCCCTACGCTCCATCACCAGAGCATCCTTCCAGAGCAGGCTTTGTGCTGTGCCTCTCGTGCTGCAAATACCTGTCTATACCAATACCTGTCTATACAAACTAAGTCTATCTTCCAGCACCATCCTCATCCCACGGAAGGGCTGGCACATGCTGCTGAACCTCTGCTTCCACATGGCCATGACAGCCGCTGTCTTTGCGGGCGGCATCACCCTCACCGGGTACCTGATCGTCTGCCAAGCGGTAGGTGCAAGAGCACAGTGAGGTCCTGCCCCGCTGGATGAGGACCCCATGGATGCAGCATCCCCATCCCCAACCTCTCTCCCGCAGGTCGGCATCATCTTGCACTATTCCTCCCTCTCCACCCTGCTGTGGATGGCGGTGAAAGCCAGGGTGCTCTACAAGGAGGTGACCTGGAAGGTGCCGCGGCAGCCGGATGGGGACGTGTCCCAGCCAGCCCCCAGACCCATGCTGCGGTACGAACCCCACTTCCCCTCACCCTGGCCCCATGGGGAGGTTCCTGGCTCTGCCGTAGCACCCATCCTGCGGTGCTGTGCTCTCCCAATGGGTGCGTGCTGACACCGTCCCCATCACGCAGGTTTTATCTGATCGCTGGTGGGATCCCCCTCATCATCTGCGGCATCACGGCAGCCGTCAACATCCACAACTACCACGACAACAACCCCTAGTAAGTGTCCCTGCCCCACCAGTGACTCGGGAAAGCTTGGGGAAGACCAGGGAGATTTTCCCCATGAATTATCCAGATACTGGGGGGAAAACCACGCAGAGCCCGTGCCATTGGGATGCTGAGCATCACAGCACCACGTGTCTGCTCAGTAAAGCCTCTTTCCTCCTGTATAGCTGCTGGCTGGTGTGGCGGCCCAGCCTGGGGGCTTTCTATGTCCCCGTGGCCTTCATCCTGCTCATCACCTGGATTTACTTCCTGTGCGCCGGGCTCAGCCTCCAGTGCCGACCCTCCCATCGCAAGGACATCCCGGAGCCACTGGAGCCGCCGCCACGACTTGGGGGTACCAGCGACCTCCTGACGGACTCCGGCTCCATCTCGGTCACCCTGAACTCGGGGCCCCCCTGCCCTGAAGGGGACGGTGTCTACTCCCTGGAGGTGCAGTTCTGGGCGCTGGTGATCACCCACGCCTTGTACGTGGCCCTCTGGACGTTCGGCGCCATGGCCGTGTCCCAGCGCTGGTACCTGAACGTCATCTTCAGCTGCCTCTATGGAGTCACCGCCGTGGCGCTGGGACTCTTCATCTTCATCCATCACTGCGTGCGGCGCCGGGATGTCCTCAACTCCTGGTTCTCCTGCTGCCCGTCCTATAGGAACGCGCTGCCCATGCAGGCGTACGTGCACCCGGGGCTGGTGCCGGAGGACGGCTCGCAGGTCTTCATCGGCTGCGACCCCGAGGCTGCTCGCTCCAGGGCATCCTCCTCCTCTTCCCCCAGCAGCGCCGGCTCGGCCGGCGGCCGCTGCAAGCTCACCAACCTGCAGGTAGCCCAGAGCCAGGCGGATGCTTGCCCGGCCACCGGCCCGGAGCCGGATCCCAGCGATGGGAAACCCACTATGAAACACGCCAGCAACCTCCACGGGCGCAGGAGCCACCGGGGCAGAACTAAGCAGTGCCGGGATGGGAAGCACCACCGCTTGAAAGTGCTGCGGGGCCCCTCGGAGCATCCCTCGAGCGAGAGCGGGAGCATCCACAACAGCCACTCCGAGAGCTACCCCAGCGGCAGGACCAGCCCCGTGAGCAGCGCCCGCACGGCACCGCGGCTACCGCAGGATGGGGATGTGGGTCCCAGCCACTCGGAAGGCAGCGACGGCGGTAGGAGGGTGGCTGAGTTCGCCGAGGCTCGCCGGAGGAGCGCCAGCAGGGATAACCTGCGCCAAGGCGGCGCTGCTGAGAAGGAGGCGAAGCGCCGGTCCTACCCGCTCAACGTGGCCAGCCACAACGGGGGGCTCAAGGGCAGCAAGTACGACATCAACCTGGCCAGTGCTGACGGCGCTGCTGGCATGAAGACCGGCCTCTGGAAGAGCGAAACCACCGTGTAAAGGTGGCGAAGGACCGGATGGATGCGGCGTTTTCCTCCGGGAGCAACGTGCCCCACGCACTATGGGGATGGCCGGGGGCTCGGGTTCATCCTGGCTGCAGGGTGATGCTGGGATCCCCGTATCCCCCCCCCGCCTTGAGGAGGCTCCAAGCTTCCCATGGGGTACAGGGGCACAAGGCGCGAGGCAATCCCTGCTCTGCAGCCGTGCTTCCATCACTCCTGCATGTCACTTCAGACTGATCCTAAAGGCTATTTTATTATACAGAGGAAGAAAGAAGAAAGGTCTATTTTTCAAAGCTATATTATTGAATGTATATATGTACAGAGAGGTCAGGGAGTGATGCCAGTGCCTCCATACCGACCAGTGTTCCCCGGGAGCAGGCATGGCCACAGCCTGCTCCTGCCACGACTGCAATATTCCCACTGATGGGACCACCCCAAGTGCCCTTTATACGTACAGAGACGATGCTTGTGCAACCCCAGCCTGAGGAAGCTGCTTCAGAGCAGGTCAAAGAGCGGCTTCTCTGTCTCAAAGGGTTCCCCATGCAAAGGAGTTTGGGCCAGCGCTGAGCCCTGTGGGTTAGGCCAAAGTTAAAGCCATATTGCAAAGCACAAGGTAAGAGGAGCCTCAGCTCCAAGGTGAGGCGATTGTCTGCACTGCCTTAATGCCAGACACTAAAACCACAGCCAGAAAAGGCTCTCAAGCCCTCGGAGGGGAGGCATAAGCTATGCAATGGGGTGGGCTGGCGGAGCCAACACCGACCCTTCTCCACCAAAGCACCAAAGAGCTGAGCCCTAAAGCAGGTCCTGGTCCTTAACCCAGGGATACAGGCTCAGCAAACGCTTGGGTTTGCTCTTAGGAAGGCAGAGAAACTCCCTGGCTACTGGTGTAAGATGAGAGGAAGGCACCAGGGAGAAGGGGCTGTTGCTGGGAAAATGATGCCAGTCATTCCTTGGACATGATGCATTCAAAGGGCTGGAGCTTGGATGAGCACTTACCTTTTATCTTTCCCATTTAAAAACAAGTCGTCCCCCCCCTCTTTTTTTTTCCCCTACCTTAATAAAAGCCAGGCTGCCAGGTCTGGGTTTCCTAAAAGAAAAGGTTGGGATGGCAAAGCACATCCCCACCTCATCCCAGCACAACACAGTGCTTCCTGCCCCTGCCCACGCTGGACTGGGGCTGTTTCTCCTGCCTCTGCCCCTTCCCTGCCTCTGTTTCTCCCATGTACAAACGAGTTTCAGCATTCAGCTACCTCCCAAAGGGTCGTGGGGAGGGGAGGGAGGAAGCACAAAAAGCACTTAAGTGATGGATTTCTCTCACCTTCAGCAGCCCTGAGGGACCCCCTCACTTGGTCCTGCCTCATCTCTGCCCAAGCCATGCCTTAAAACCACAGCCTGGCGGTGAACACGTTGCTGCCGCAGCCTCCCAGGTCGTGCTGATGCTGAGCTGTTGTATATGCTTGCTGCACTGTGACAGTATTATAGGGAAAGCTTTGTATTATCCAGTACACTATGTTCGTGTTGGTCTGTTTACATTTACAAGCAAATGACATATCAACAAGAGAGCTTCCTGCAATATACCTGGGGGAGGGAGGGAGGGAGGGAGGGGAAAAGTATGCCAAAGAGATGACTTTAAAGGGGTCTGGTTTGCCTTTTTCTATGAATAGAATGTTGCCAGCAGATATGTTCTGGTTAATATATTAAAGATTTGCCCATCTGCCAAGATGTACTGGTGTTCTTCACACGGACAACGGGCTGCCAGGCATGGGGAGGGCAGCACTGCACACACAGAGCCCAAAGCTGTGCCCGAGCCATCCTTCATCTAAGCTCTCAACAAGTGCAGGTGTCTCCTTGATCCTCACAAACCCATCCACCCCTTCTCATAAGAAGGTGAGGTGGCCCCAGGAAAGCTGGAGGAGCTGTATGGAAAACCAGCAGCAGTGTGAACCTGTGAAGCTGAGACCTTCCCCCTGGGCATCACCCAGTTCCAGGTCCATGGGCTCACCACATTCTGCTGCCCCACAGGACTGGGATGAGCCAAAACACCTTGTACCGGTGAGAAAGAATCCAGAAACCAGTCCAGGCACCTGCTTTTTACTGATTTCTAAGAGAAATGTAACAACTCAAAGCAGATACTCCCTAAAAAACCCCATTTTGGTCCAGAACACGGAGCAGAACATCACGCGCTTCATCCCAACCCGCCCCCTCGGGTGACTGTCCCTGCAGCACCCACTCTCCGGTGGGTTGGTCCCACAGTCCCTGCACCTCCAGCAGCACCATCCTGCTGGAGACAGCGACCTTCACATCCAAAGCTTGGCCTTCCTGAAGGCCTGCACCTCCTCTGGGCCCCGCAGGTACAGCTCGATCTCGCTGTCGGAGATGGGCTCATCACCGGTGACGGCAGAGTCGGAAGCGCTCGGGGCTGCCGTCCGCAGCCTCTTCCTTGGATTGAGGAGGCAGGGAGGCAGCAGGGGCCTTGGGGTGTCCTCACGCTGCTGCTGCCCTTCCAAGGGACAATCCCCATCCTGTGCTGCTGGAGCAGAGCCCTCACCCGTGGCCATGGGCTGCTGCTCCTCCCCGTCCTGCAAGCAGAAGGCTTTCTTGAGCAGCACCAGGCGGTGCTGCAGCAGGTCCCCGATGTGCTTGACCACGGTTTTCTTGTCCAGCTTAAACATCCGGAGCCAAAGGAGCTGCGAGGCCATTCTGAGGAGGATCTCAAGCAGCTCCTTCAGCCTCAGGTGTGCTGGTGGGGGCAGATCGACCCCTGCCAGCCTGCAGAAGCGGGCCAGGGTGCAGGAGAGGCGGGCAGGGGGATGCAGTGACTGCCAGGCCAGGAATGCTGCGGCCGTGACGATGGGCACGGGGTGCCGGCCCGTCACCAGCCATGTCTCACTGGCCAGCTCCACTATCTGCAGTGTTCTGGCCACCACCTTCTCCTTGTCCTCCACAAACTGGGCAGGGATGTTGGCTGTGGGCTGGAAGAGCTGAAAGCTGAAAGAGCAAAGAGCTTATGGTTAGCGTCATGGGGGAGCTGCACCAGCTTGTTTCTGCTTGCGTCACCTAGGCAAGTGCAGCATGGCTCTCTCCAAACTGGGGATAAAGGGGCAGGAAGACAATAACGCAGCAGTAACTTCATCCCAGAACATCACTCCTAACCTGTTAAAGAGAGTAATTTCCTCAACGCTGTGGCTGTAATCAGAGCTGGGGTTTAGCTCTGCATGGAAGTATCTGTTGTGCCTCAGGACCCAAGCCAGACAGAGCAGGCTGGGCCCAGGGCTGGCAAAACAGGCTTGATCCTGAAGGATTCACAGATAGAATGGGTTGGGTTGGAAAGGAGATGAGCTCTTAGGCAGAAGCTCTTCCCTGTGAGGGTGCTGAGGCGCTGGCACAGGGTGCCCAGAGAAGCTATGGCTGCCCCATCCCTGGCAGTGCTCAAAGCCAGGTTGGACAGGGCTTGGAGCACGCTGCTCTAGTGGAAGGTGCCTTCATGGATGAACTTTAAGGTCCCTTCCAACCCAAACCATCCCATGACTCTATGACACTGACACACCTGTGTAACAGCCCAGGTCTCCCTCTGCTTGTGGACTGTGCCCTGGGCAGAAACTTTTCCACCTCCCTCCAGCATCCCACGCAGGACCCTGCAGTGGCTGAAAGAGGCCCCGTTACCTGTTCAGGTGGCTCTTCACCAGATCTGCCAGGCTCAGGGCGGGCACAGAGAGCTCCAGCTCCTTCTGCAGGCTCAGGAAGACGCTGGCAAACAGCTCCTGCTTCGCGTAGAGCAGCGAGCAGATGGTGCCCATGGTCAGGGGCCAGTTGTGCTGGCGACAGGTCACGAAGACGCAGCAGCCCCCCAGGAGCTCCTTCTTCTCCAGGCTGAGCAGATGGAAGGAGGGATGCTGCAGAGCTCTCTGCACGTAGGACACCGCCGTCTCCTCAAAGAGCGCCGGGAGCTGCAGGACCTTACAGAGATCCTGCACCCGCCTGATGCCTGGGAAAGACACAGCCCATAAGGATCAGCTCAAGCAGCTTCGGATACACCCCTTATCCACAGCATTCACCCAGCCCCAGGAGAAGGCACAAGCAGCACAGCTCCTGCAGCCAGCGTGGAGCATCGCCCTTAGTGCAGGTGAAGGATGCTGAACTGCCTCCTGTGTGCTCCACTGCCAGCTCTGAAGGCTTTTACCATTTAGAGAGCATTAGGACCATGTTAAACCAGAGCAGCAGCACTAGGAACGCATCAAACCAGAGCAGCAATAGGAACACATCAAACCAGAGCAGCAATAGGAACACATCAAACCAGAGCAGCAGCATTAGGAACACATCAAACCAGAGCAGCAATAGGAACACATCAAACCAGAGCAGCAATAGAAACACATCAAACCAGAGCAGCAATAGGAACGCATCAAACCAGAGCAGCACTAGGAACACATCAAACCAGAGCAGCACTAGGAACACATCAAACCAGAGCAGCAGCACTAGGAACACATCAAACCAGAGCAGCACTAGGAACGCATCAAACCAGAGAAGCAGCAATAGGAACACATCAAACCAGAGCAGCAATAGGAACACATCAAACCAGAGCAGCAGCAACAGGAACACATCAAACCAGAGCAGCAGCAATAGGAACACATCAAACCAGAGCAGCAGCAACAGGAACACATCAAACCAGAGCAGCAGCACTAGGAACACATCAAACCAGAGCAGCAGCAACAGGAACACATCAAACCAGAGCAGCAGCACTAGGAACACATCAAACCAGAGCAGCAATAGGAACACATCAAACCAGAGAAGCAGCAATAGGAACACATCAAACCAGAGAAGCAGCAATAGGAACACATCAAACCAGAGCAGCAGCAATAGGAACACATCAAACCAGAGCAGCAGCAACAGGAACACATCAAACCAGAGCAGCAGCAATAGGAACACATCAAACCAGAGCAGCAGCAACAGGAACACATCAAACCAGAGCAGCAGCACTAGGAACACATCAAACCAGAGCAGCAGCAACAGGAACACATCAAACCAGAGCAGCAGCACTAGGAACACATCAAACCAGAGCAGCAATAGGAACACATCAAACCAGAGAAGCAGCAATAGGAACACATCAAACCAGAGAAGCAGCAATAGGAACACATCAAACCAGAGCAGCAGCAATAGGAACGCATCAAACCAGAGAAGCAGCAATAGGAACGCATCAAACCAGAGCAGCAGCAATAGGAACGCATCAAACCAGAGCAGCAGCAATAGGAACACATCAAACCAGAGCAGCAGCAACAGGAACACATCAAACCAGAGAAGCAGCACTAGGAACACATCAAACCAGAGCAGCAATAGAAACACATCAAACCAGAGCAGCAGCACTAGGAACACATTAAACCAGAGCAGCAATAGGAACGCATTAAACCAGAGCAGCAGCAATAGGAACACATCAAACCAGAGCAGCAGCAATAGGAACACATCAAACCAGAGCAGCAGCACTAGGAAAACATTAAACCAGAGCAGCAATAGGAACGCATTAAACCAGAGCAGCAGCAATAGGAACACATCAAACCAGAGCAGATGTGGCGTGAGAAGGCAAGTGAAGGAGCTGCTCTTACCTCGCTGCAGGCAGCGGCTCAGCTGCTCCCTCTGGCCAGTGCTCTGGGAATAGGCCACCTCTGGAAAAGAGGTAGGGTTAGGAAAACAGGGACCCTGGGACAGCGTCAGCATCATCCGGAGCATGGTGCTGGATCCCAGTGATCAGAATGGAGCCGCCGAAGCAGCGCTGGCAGCACACGGTGGGTAAGGGAGAGGGGCGGGATCCCCTTTGAGCCATTGCTTCTATCCACACGGAACCAGCAAAGGGCCTCAGGGCTTCTCCACTGCACTGGATAGAACCTGGCAGGGAGGTGCTGCTGGTTTGCCTTATAATGGGAAACCATGCTGGGTCTGTGCTTAGGGAGGGAGGAAGGGGATGGGAGGAGGAAGAAGGGAAGAAAAGGAAGGGAGGGAGGGAAGGGCAAGAAAGGAAGGGAAAGAAGGGAAAGTAGGGAAAGAAGAGAAAGAAGGGAAGAAAGGGAAAGAAGGCAGGGAGAGGAGGGAAAGGAAGGGAAACAAAGGAAAGAAGGGAGAGAAGGAAGGGAAAGAAAGGAAGGAAAGGAAATGAAGGGAGAGAAAGGGAAGGAAGGGATGGAAGGGAAAGAAGGGAAAGGAAGGGAAAAGAAGGAAAGAAGAGAAGGCAGAGAAAGAAGGGAAGGAAAGAAAAGAAAAGGAAATGAAAGGGAAGAGAAAGAATGGAAGAAAATGAATGGAAAGTAAGGGGAAGGAAGGGAAAGGAAGGAAAAGAAGGTAAAAGAAGAGAAAGAAGGGAAGGAAGGGAAAGAAGGAAAAGACAGGGAAAAGAAGGAAAGAAGAGAAGGCAGGGAAAGAAGGGAAGGGAAGGGGGAAGGGAAGGGGGAAGGGAAGGGAAGGGAAAAGGGAAGGGGGAAGGGAAGGGAAAAGGGAAGGGGGAAGGGAAGGGAAAAGGGAAGGCAAAAGGGAAGGCGAAGGGGAAGGGGAAGGGGAAGGGGAAGGGGAAGGGGAAGGGAAGGGAAGGGAAGGGAAGGGAAGGGAAGGGAAGGGAAGGGAAGGGAAGGGAAGGGAAGGGAGAGAGGAGAGAAGAAAAAAGAGAAGAGGAGAAGAGAGAAGAAAGGAAGGGGAAGGAAGGGAAAGAAGGGAAGGGAAAGGAAGGGGAAAGGGAAAGAAGGGAAAGAGATGGGAAAGGAGGGAAAGGAAAAGGGAAGGGAGGAGACAGCGGCCGCCCCCCCCCCCGCCATCCCCTCCCGGCGCTCCCGCACCCCGCTGGTGCTGCTCCTCGCTGTAGGTGCTGGTGAGGAGCCCCTCGGCCAGGACGCAGCCGCAGGCGGCGCACACGAGCTGCTGCTGCCCGTAGTGCGCGTCCTGCACCAGCGGGCCCGACCCGCACCCGGGGCACCGGCCCCCGGCCTCCATCCCCGCCGCCATCCCGGCCGGACCGCTCCGCCGCTGCACCACCGGCAGCCAATAGCGGCGCCGGCAGCGGTCCGTTCCCTACACCGCCCCCGTCCCCTGAACCATGCGTTCCGGGTGACGAGAGTTCCGCCGGGGGGGGGTCCCACTGCGGCCGGGCAGAGGGGGAGCTCTCGGAGCATCATCCCTGCTCGCTTTAGGGCTGCAGCACCCCAGTGTGCAGGGGGGGTTTGGGTGCCCCCCCCATCCACCTTCCATCATAATAATTCCATTATAATCGCTTTTGCTATTATAATATTTTGAATATTTATTTAATAATAGTATTTATTAAATTATTAATATTTAATGTAGTCACTATTATTAGTATATTCAATATTATAATAACACAGGCTCCCAACGCAAGTGTTTTGGAGCTAAATGCCTCCAAGGCAGCACAAAGCTGATTGCCTCTCTTCATCCCCTGCTGCTGCAATTGAGGGTCATTACAATTAGGGCACCAAGGGCTCAGCGCTGGGACTGGGGTGATTGAAGAGGCCAAGAACCTTTCACATGCGTTTTACTCTTCCTGCTTTCCTGACACTCTCTGTTCTGGTGATGCGGATGAGCTCGTCCATCAGGTTTCCCCACCCTGTGAGCTGTTTACCTTGCAGGGATGGAACTAGCCCAAAAATACCTTGAGGATGAGGAGTTTGAGGCAGCAGAGCCGGTCACAAGGAGGGGACAAGGCCCTTTAGAAGCTGCCCTTTCAGATACAAACAACACCCCGTGATTTAAGGTACTTTTATTTTAGTGTTCCACGAAACCAAAAGGCATGTAAAACCAAACAGGTTCCCAGGCTAAAAGCAGACAGTATAAACAGGGAAAAAAAAAAACATATTCAGATCCTTCAATCATAAAACAATGCATTTGGTTCTTAAGGCCCTTCAAGTCAAGGTGAAGCACCTTGCAGGATATAAACCACCAGTCCCCAGATGCCAAAGCAAGGCTTTGACTGGTATTGCCAGCACAAGACCGAGGGATGAGGTTTGTGTGATGCTTTCGTGGTTGTGGAAGTCAAAGGACCAGGGAGAACAACTCGGGCTACAAGAGGCACAAAAGGCTGCCAGGAGAGGATGTGAAAGGTTTTAAGGCTTCAGCCTCCAAGGAGCCTGCTAAAGGTGGGTTTTACCACGTTGTTTCTGTGCCCCTCACTCCAAGATGCGCGTTCTCACCCCAGTGATCCAAGCTTCACACAAGCCACGCTCCAAAAGCATCGTGCAAACCCCACGGTGCTGGCAGCAGGACCCATCCACGAGGGCAGGAGAAAGCAAGAGGCCAGCCCTGCTTCCCAGTGTCCAGTTATGACCCTGGATAACGCCATCCCGGGCTCCTGAAGCCCTCAGTCACTGTGTAAAGGCACAACTGGTTTTCCTGGCTCTCCGACCTACAGCATCAGACAGCTGGGGAATACAGTCTAAAAGACAAGTCCTAGAGGTCCAGGCAACTGTTGCTTTCCAGAGAGGCACCAATCCTTCATCTTCCTCATTACTTCAAGGCACGAGAAGCAGCAGCAATGAGTAAGGCATCCAGTCCCACTCCAAACTAAACCCAGCACCAAGAGCTGAAGGGGGCAAAGCCTTCTGCGTTTCACCCCCTTCATCCACAGAACGTACAGCACAAAGAACCCATGGCTGAAGACATCTGCTCAACCAGAAACAAGTATCCCAAAGTCTTCAGAAGGCTCTTAACGCTTAAAAGGCTTGGTTCAACTCCAGCATCCCACGAGGAAAAGCTCCAGACTTTGGTTGGAGTGGATAGGAATCAAAAGGGGATGAAGAGCAGGTTTGGATGTCCCCAGTGAATGCGCACACCTCGAGGCAAATATATTAACTATTTTCACTACAAAAATACAGTATTTGAGGAGTCTCCAGTGGTTTAGGACAATAGCTAACAGGCTGATGGTTGATCCACCTGGTCCAGGCCCTAATAAAGTGCTTTGCTGTAGAAAAACTGAGTCAGAAGCTTGCCCCTTCCAAGCCAGGAATAACCCAACAGACCCTTTCCAGCTCCCAAAGGCAGGAGTTCTGCTTTGGTCCTCTGCTACCCCCTGCTTTGGGTACTTCAGCTTCCCTCTAAGCCTTTGCTGGACTCTCACCACCCTGAGAAATCCCAGAGGTGCAAAGAGGCATCTGATTGTTAAAAGCTCACCAAGACAAGAGGCTACGTTTAGGTTTGCAGCGGTGCCGCTCCACAGCGTTAGGCTGTAGTGCAGGTGGTGAGATGGGGAGGAGAGCATACCTGTGTCTCTCCAGCCACCCATCAAGGAAGCAGACTGCAGGGCATCAATTGCCTCACAAAACACTCACTCAGCTAGCTAAGATTCATTCCATTCATGAGCAGCAAGTCACAAAGAAACTCAATCTGACCAAGCACTGGCACTGCGACTGCTCCCATCGCAGGGGAGGGTGATGTGGTTCCTCTCTTGCCTCTACAAGGAACGCCCCTAAGAAGCCTGAGCACCTTTAAAGGTTGCTCCAAGCCCCAGCTTCAGCACCCAAGGTGTTTAAATTAACTGCAATGGCATAAAGGAATCACTGCAGACCTCCCCTGCAGCATCAGTCCGGGGCCATGCAGGAGATCCACACCTATTCGAGACCCATCTGCCTCCCTCCCTTGAAGGAATTGAATTTGAAGGCTATCAGAGAACAGTTTCTGATTGAAAACCCACCTTTGGCCCAAGTTCATTCCTACCATTCCTATGGTAGTCAAACGTACCATATCCCAGTGCTTCCTGGACCACGAGACCTGCAAGTCTTCCCCTTGCAGAGCTGCTTTGAAGCAACGTGTACTCGATGAGACGCTTCTTCCTTTCCAATCTAAGCTTTAACTTGAATTGATTACTTTTACAACAGCCCTGGTCTGAAGCACAGTATCTTTGGACTAGGTCAGTGTAGTGATCATTTGGTTTAAATCAATCAAATCTTCAAGCTCTATAAGGTTTTAGATTGCACTACAAGTTAAGATGTAGAAAGAAGAGGGATTCATCTATGAAAGCTGCTACAAAATGAAACCATTAACCTTCACAAAGGCTCACCAGTGCCTTGCTGGCAGGCAAAGCCCCTCCAACTCCTTCACTCTGGATGAGATGCTTGAACAAATCTTCCCAAAGAATGGAAAGAAAGCCAATAATAAATAGGATAAAGTGACTCTGCTCCTGGGCTGCAGATACCGGATGGAACTACAAATCAAACCGAGGGTTGCTTAAGGCAGAAACAGGAAAGAGGTCGTTTTCTGTGGCAGCACAACCGGTCCCCACTTGCTCCACGTCAGCTCCTTATCCATCCCAACAGCACTGGTGGGAATCCAGCCCTTTGTTCACCCAGCATCCCAGGAGCTTTTACATCTTCCCAGCCTTTTTGGTTCCGGATGCTGCGACACGAAGGATGTTGGGGGTTTCTTCCATGACCCTGACGAGCAAGTTGTCGATGTAGTCTTCGAGCTCACGCACCTGGAGATCCTTCTTGGTGATGGCATCCTTCTGTTTCAAGATGAGCTGGATCAGCTCATCGTGCGTCAGCTGGGCATAAGCGTAGGCAGGATCTGAAGGGTGGTATTTCTGAGAGAGAGGACAAAGGCAGGGTCAGTGCAGGCATATGGGCAGTGCAAAACAGCAGCACGGAGCCCCAGGTCCCATCCAAATGATGTTTTGGAGCTGGAGCATCGTAGGATCAAGAACGGGATGCTCAGAGGCACGCTGCGCCAAGGCATGGACGATGCCAGGCCAGCTTCCTGCTACAAAGCACCTTTTGGGTTGTTAGCCTAGGAAAACCCATAGGGAACATTGCCTCCAGAACAGCTCTTTGGAAGTATATGGAGGAGAAAGGAGCAACTGCCTCAGTGTGTGCTGCTCACAGCACAGGGACATGGGTTAGGGAGCTTAAGCAGCCTTCTGCAGAGCAGCAGGCAGGCTCAGAGCGAGCTGTTACAGACAGCAACCAGGCCATTGGGTTCAGCATCAAACCTTTGCAGTTACAGGTCTGTAACTCAGCTCTGGTGCAACTGACACTGGACTAATGCCATGCTGGGTCCAGCCAGCTCAGTGAGATGCAGGGAAGCCGCAGCCACGCACCATCAAATGCCACTGTTCACAGACCTGGTGTGTAAAACATGCCAACCTGGGGTTAAACAGCAAGAAACACCCACTGAGGCCCTTGGCACTTCCCTCCTATTGCAGTCACCGCTGGGAAAGGAAAACACAACGCAGCTGCTCCCTGAACCCTTCTGCTTCCCACCCTGCCATCCTAATGACAGCCTTCCACCCACTGAGCATTGCAATGCATCAGCTGGAATCCCGTGATGCCAGCTATTTGCTCCTTCCTCACTCACACCAGAAGGAGGCACTGCAGGGATTTGGGTGCTAACTTCTCATTTCCCTCCCCCTAAAATCCCTTAAAGACAATAAGGGTCCCCCCCAAGGGGTTTTCCCTGCTTCCAGCCATCCTGATCCACATGCTTCAAGCCTGGAGGCCTCTTTTGAGGCCAAGATTAAGCCAACAGCTCCTTTACATCTGAATTCATGCCCACCCCAGTCTGGCTCTGCTCAGGATATAAGAACCTAAGCAAACTCTCTCAGATACACAAACCCTGTTCAATATAGGGCTTAAGCTTTGGGTTAAAGCTCCCCTTTCCCCTCATTACCTTCACATTGCTCTCGAGCAGCTTCTCATTCATAGTGCTGATGACATTCAGGGCTTTACTTTGGGACTTGTTTGCTGTGGCATTCATGGGCTTCACAGGATGGAGTCTGCAATGGTAAGACAGGCTTCTGTTACAGAGGCAGCAAACTGAACATGCATCTTCAGAGCAAAACCACAGCGAGAAACTGGGAAGAAATCCCACCCCTTTCTCTATGGCCAAAGGGATAAGATATTCAGCTTTGGGAAGACAAGGCATTTGTGTCCAAGCTGTAGCCTTTTTGTTAAGCATCCTCTGTTCTTTGCTAGTGTTATTGACTTGATGCATTGGAGACAGAGAAGCA